TCTCGATTCTATATCTTTAGTTGTATCTTCAGTTCTTTCCAAGAGGGCTTGATAAATTTCATGTATATTAATTTTGCGAGACTTTATCGCTTCTATACGGCTTTCCTTCCCATCTTGTATTTGACAAAAAAATTAACTGTTTCAAAAGAGACTTTTGCCGCATCGTTAACTACTAAATTTAATGAGTGATTAGAACACGGAACAAAAAAGGCTCTAGAATTTGTTTCAATAATTTTCTGTTGAAGCCCGTTGTGTTTGCCACGCATATTTGCGCCATTGTCGTATCCTTGACCACGTAAATTAGAAATACTGAGATTCAACGATTGTAAATGTTTTAAAATAAATTCATATAATCTCTGCCCAGTGGTGTTCTCAACAGCACAAAATCCCAAAAAGTGTTCATGAATTTCTGCTATATTTTTATTTTTGTTGTGATATACATATCTAATAACAAGAGTTAATTGTTTCGTATGAGTTATGTCTGGAGTTGTATCAAGAATTATCGAGTAATATTTTGCGCTTTGAAACATGTCTAAAATTTGTTTTTTTATGCCTTCAGAAATTAAATGAATTATTTCATTCTGTATGCCATCTCCTAAATAATGTGCAATATTCTTTCTCTCGGATGTTTGAATGCGACGTAAATGTTCAACCATTACATTATCAAATTTGGCAATAGTTTCTACTAATTTTAAAAAATTTCCATTATCATAATCATATAACTTTTTAGATGATCCTCTAAAAGCTATGCATTGCCGTGATAAATATTGGATTATATATATTATGCGTTCAATAACGGATTGCCAATATTTTTTTTCGGTATTATACAACCTCTGTTCCATTACATCAATTGTATTTTTGTTATTTAAAGACTTTTTAAGTTCACTATATTTTGTACTATTTTTAATATGTATGGCACTTGTTTCGTGTTTTTTTAGTACATATGATAAATGTTGCCAATCATTACAGCCATATTCACTGCTAAGTTTTGAATTTGATATATTATCAAATAATTTACAATAATAGCAAAAACCGAATTTTTTGATATTGAGTATACCAAATAATTTCTAGTAATTTTTTCTCCATTTGGAAGTGTTCTAATATAATACGTGTCAGAAAATTTTCGACCAGAATCGTCTTTAGGAAAATTATATTTAATTATCTGGCGAGGAGAATTTTCTACTAAAGAGTCTCTTATTTTAATAGATAGAATTTTTGGCCAAGTACCTGGGTCGTTTGCATCAAAATTTAAAGCAGAGTTTGATAATTCGGTTGTATTTGAAGGAAAATCTAAATTTTCTTCAACTTCATCTTGTAACGCCCTAGCAATGATATTAGCTTCTACTCCTTTTGACGTTATACTACTGCTACCGGCTTCTGGTTCTTGCGTTTCGTTGGTCTGTTCTGTTTCTTCGGTTTGTTCTGTTTTTTCTGATGTTATTGCAGCACTAGCACCTGATTCAACATGAGTAAACGCGATTTTTTGTTTTTTTTCTAAATGTGATGTTTCCACAGTCAAGAATTTATTTAGGGAACCAGTCAATTCTTGTTCGATTTGCAATTTCTTTGCTTTTCTTTTCCTATATTGAGCTCCGGACAAAGTTGTTGGTTTTTTCTTATTGTAATATTCTTTTTCTGACATCTACAAATGAATAATTAAATTTTAAATTTACTCTAATAGTCTATTAACAACAGAGCCTCTTCTAAAAAAATTCATATTACATTTCAATATACTTTCAATAATAAAGTATGAGAAAAGTCTTGAGAAGATCAGTCATTTAAACTAAGCTAACAGAAATAATGATCAGGATAAAACGCTTGATTCAGCTATCAATCTAATTAAGAAAACAAATAGAATCTATAAATAATATGAATACAAGTAGAGATGGACCGTAATGAAGTCGAATAGAACGAATACGCTTAATGTGAAATATACGAAGCGACAGAAGGATGAATTTACTTTTTTTCGTTCTTTTCATTTCTTTATTATGTCTCATTACGAATAATCGACGGTTCAAGTAACTTAGTTTCGTTCTTTCTCATTCAGAAAAGACAAAACTTGATTTGTCAGTGAGTAGATAGACGAAAGTATCGAGAATAAGACAAATATGTGATATAGCTGCTTTCGACTAAACGTAATAATGAGCTTCTTACGTAAGAAACGTAACAACGTGAATTTCAATCAAGAACGAATAAGGAAATATAATAACATTAGTTAAGCTATTTAGAGAGTAAGTCAATTTAAATTTATCAACGTCAGGAATAATAATAGAAACAAAGGAAGTATACGCCTTTCGATGCGGTGTGATAAAGACAAATGTCCGTCAATAGGGACATTAGTCTCAAATAAGATACTTTATTCATTTTATTCTATTTTTAACACACAAATAACTCTTATAAAAACTCAATTCTATTTTCAATGACGACCACAGCGCCTTCACCTAATATAACTCAAAACTCAAAAACTATTGTAAATAGTCTAATATCATCTTCAACATTATTTGTAATAAAACAACACCGCTAAAGGCCAAGCACAGGCTCGCTTGGAAGTATTTTGATAAAAGATACATTAAGAAGTGCTTTAAAATCACCTTTTGCGCATATATATAAACAAAAATTGTACGATATGTATCATCTGTAAATGAGACAAAGTATGATTCTGTCATTTTACTTGTGTATAAGTAGCTAAAGAAATAACGTCAAAATAACACGTGCAGGTCTAACTCTCACCCCACCCTCAAACTGGTTTCTTTTCTAGTTCCTAGTAAGACACATGTTTTTTGCCAGTGTGCAGGCAGATGACGGACCGCAAGTCGGCATTATTACTGTGCATGCAATCGGTCAAAATGCCGCCCCTTTCATTAGCCGCCCTTGTGCGATGAACAACCTGCACACCTATACGCGGTGGCCCTGACGACATCTATATATTAACAGACAAGTGTAGTAGATAATTTTGTAATATCAAAGAAGAAACTATTTGCGGTAGGTGTGATAGTTAGAGGAGACCAAATTCAGCATTTTCCTGTATGGGGATTGATATAGTATGTTGCTAGTGTCGATTAACACGCAAGAATAGATCTATTTCAGTAAAACTTCAAAAGTCAGATTGTACAGCTCCGACAAGGGCTGTGCTGACAAACGTTTTTGTCCCGGAACGCAACTCCATCATTTCACATCAGATTTAGCTAATGTTTTGACGCAAACTACTTGTGATCAAATAAAGGTAAATGACTCACTGTGCATTAGTGGCCATAAATGATTTTTTACTGCAATACTGCTTCTTTTTTTTTTCAAATATCGCGAGGAGAAACACGATGTTTTCATTCTTCCTGATTTTTTCGTTCTTCATTTTCCAACTTACTCGAAGAGAAAAACCTTATTCGTTTGTCTTTCGATTCAATAACAAGTGCAGATACTTTTTATTTAGGTCAGCAGCTTACGTCAACAGTTGTTGTATACTCATTGAAAATTTCTAGCATAAGCATCAATGTCGATTGGCCAGTACCCATCGCTTCAGACATTACCGGTCGAAATTCTCCATCGTATTTGTGATTGTCTCGATGCACATACAATACTATTATCACTTCGCAATACGTGTCGACGATTAAGAGCAGTTGTCAAAAACTATGATCGGTACATTCTCGATCTCAAACTGATCTCACAATTCCATTTTCGACTCGTTTGTCGTTTGATTGATCCTCGAAACGTCAAATCATTGACACTCTCTAACGAGGATGAAAGATTTAATCAAATGAGATCATTTCATTCGCTGTTCCGTGTGAGACAATTCACTCGACTTCATTCCCTGACATTAACTGCAATCAAAGAAAGCCAGTTGAGAGATATTTTGAAACGTGTTAACATCTCTTCGCTCATTTCATTTTCACTTGAGATCGGAGAATCTAACGATCGGCGAGAAAATATGACAGCGACACTTATCACGTCAATTCTTAGACGATCGAAGCTTCATAAACTCGTACTGAATATTGCACCGGATCGGATAGAAGAAATCGACTGGCCTGATGAATACACGATTCAATATCTGGAAATTGGCGTGTGCAGAAATTTCGATCAGATCAGCGCAATTCTTCGATGCATACCTCGATTGCGAACACTAACTATCGGTTCTTGTTCAATACAAAATATTCGCCAGACTGATTTAGTGCATTTTCGGCAATTGACTGTATTATTATTTAAAAATATAAACACGAGAATCGACGATCTCGAACTTCTGCTTCTACTGATGCCATCATTGACTCATCTAAAACTGATTGGCAAGGGAAATTTCTTGGACGGTCATCGCTGGGAACAGTTCATTCGAACAAATCTACCTTTATTGAACAAATTTGAGTTTTTTTACAATGAAGATCAAGCTTATCAACCGAATCCTCCAGATATCGAGTGGATCGTTGCATCATTTCGAACGGTGTTCTGGTTCAAACTGAAAAAATGGTTTGTCACTTGTGAATACAATATCAACTCGCCAAAACAGATCACACTCTATTCGATACCAATCTGCGTGCCTTCTCTCAACTCGAAATTTGAATCAACAAAAGTTTCAGTTTCGACCCTTGTTACTACGACAGTTGACAAGCACACACCCATAATAGTAAATATCGACAGGATTGTATTCAGTTTTACAAAATTGACGTCCAATGACATCGAACAACAGGTATCAGGAATGACAATGTGGTTCTAAGCTTTCCGAGATCTGCCTGAGTTATAATAGATTCTTAGTTCGACCTGCGAGATTCATTTTATTGATAAATTGAGTTGATCGTCGTAGTCGATAAGAACACTTCTCATAAAGTTTTACATAAAAGCAGATTGTTTTTAAAATTTTCTGGTTTTGGGATAGGCAATGATGGACTGCGTCTACATGTTAGGCTACTTGAACAAGATCCAAACACCTAGGTAGTTGGATACTACTCATGTAAAAAAAGTGAACATTCGCCACTTTGTGCGACTTAGGTATTTTAAAGTGAATGATAAAGTACTATTCTCTGTATTTTCCACTTTTATAGTAGAAAAGTTCCTTTTTACAAGACTATTTAGTCAAAATGGTTCACTTCTTATTACTTAATCGACTGTTTTGAGCGAACTGCAACACTGAATAGTAGCTTTTTCTATTCTTATTTCATATGAGGATTCAGTTCTCTTTCAAGTCATTTTGTAAAAGACAGGAGCATCTGCCGATCTGTTGATGAAAAATCAAAAAACTAATCGGCAGTACACAGTCAGATTGCGAGAGAAGGAAACTCTTTTTAGAATTGTAGAAAAAACGTATCTTCGTTCGGGTTAGTTTTGTTTTTTTATTCACAGCGAGATACAGCAAGCCATCCTTTATTTCGCACAATGAAGAAGCTCGGACTTTTATTTAGTTCCAATCGACCTGTTGGTTGGATTCCGTTTGTTTCGATATTTGTTGACCTGACAACAATCACCCAAATCGCTTTAACAGGAATAGGGATTCTCGAGGCCAATCCTGCCATACTGGCTGACATTGCAAGTTTGCTTCAACGAACGTGTAATATTACTTCACTCAGTATGGGTGGCACTTCGAAATCTCGCTTAACAGCGGATGCTATTTGTTCGATGATACCGGCTCATGTTCTACATTTGGCAGTGTCAATCAAAAATTTGAATGAACTCAAAATTGTTCTTGAGCGACTTGAACATTTGTCAAGTGCCAGATTCTTTTTCGATCATACGCCATGTTTGAGTCAATTTCACGAATGGTTTAAAACGAAAAAACAAGGTCTGTCATATCGGACAGAGCGTTTCTCGCTGCACGTATGGCTTGAAAATAACAGCGTTCAGTCAAATGAAGTGAGAGTTGGTAATAAACGGATCAAACTAGCTGATGATCATCGTGACTCATGACTTTCTCAGTATTTTTCGTCATTCGAAACCAGAATTATTTATTCAGGTCATATATTGAACGTTAACATCTATTTTATTTTAGAAAAGTATGAGACCTTATGGAAATAGCCCTACAGATTTTGTAAAGAGAACACCTTCTGTCAAATAAGTTTAAATCCATTCTCGAAGAAGAGCGTGTTTTTGTATTATGCTTTGGCTCTGACAGTAAACAGCTTTCTTTTGAAAGATTATATTTATTTCTCGGACTGCCCAAGCGTGACGGAATCACGTTTTTTCATTTAGTGTTTTCAATATCTCAACGGAATGAAACTGGATAAAGCTGAAATTTTCAGAATATTTAAGTCGAATTACCCTACACATCCTGAAAGTTTGATTAGATTCGAAGCTTCCTTTACAGTTGTATGATTGAAATATATGCCAGTGATGGAATCACCCAAAATGGATTTCGAGTTTGAACCCAGCGGAAAGAACTAAAAAACTTAGCTCAACTAAGTCTGCGAGGGGAAAACCTTCTGCAGCAAAGTTGTCGCCTAGATGACGTGCTATACATGAGAAAAAAGAAAATTTCAGTAGTGTCATAAAATGGCTTTTAGGAAGGAAAAAAGCTCCGTGATGCACAACTCGTATCAATTGTACTGTTTAATTTACTTACATCGACTTTAGTTTCACTTTTCATTTGTATAACATGATGCTCAACCATTTCTGTTCTCTTTTTCGAAATTAAATTTAAGATCTATCTGCTCTTCTTTGCTTTCTAATGGTTCTGATTTTATTCCCACAATAATCAAAAATAAGTGAGCATTAAAATATAAACAAAAACTGTTTGTGGGTTTTTTCTTTCCTGCACTATTAAACCTGATTATAAGTTTCTCATTGATGCTAGTATGCACGAAACAGCCTATTCAAAGCAGTTTTAGAATATGTAATCGGTTTTGAAAAAAACAAATTTCTTTATCTGAAAAATGAGAAAATAAAAACTTATAATGAATATTCGTTTTCATCGGTTCTGAGCGATATCTGTATAACAGTATTCTTTTCTCTAACGAGGGATCCCCACCAACTGATTAAAAGCTTTAGGGCTCATATTTACGCCATAAGTAGGACTTAGTGAGACTAGAGGAACCCTAAAAGGATTTCCTTTCATGGGCCTATTTTGCTAAGATATGAACGTTCCAAGTTTAGGACCAAAACTGTAGACAGATAGCTTATTATAAACGTAGAGGGTAAAGCAGTAATAAATAACCGAGAATATAAGAAATATAACACTGCTATGAAAATCATTTGAACAAAACACTTTTATTCGTTAGCGAGCTTTCGATGTCTTTCTAACATCATCTTCAGACTGACTAAAATGGAACATTTAACAGAGTTATATACAAAAAGACAAAGATGTCTGTTCTTTCTTATTTGTTCTTGAAAAGAGAAACCGTTGAATTTTGAAAATGAATATTGATCAAATCAATGTTAGTTTCTTCTTTTCTTTATTTCTTTTTGCTATTCATATGTTCATTAATAATTGGCACTCAAACATTAAATTTACCGTTGAATTTGAATCGAATCAACGTTTACCCTTCTTGGATGTATGGGTAATCCGGGACAATGATAAATACACAACAACCATTTATCGCAAGCCTACTAACACGGACTTATACATGCTATATGAGTCACATCAATCTCGCAAGTATAAACTTGGGCTGATAAAAACATTGGTAATTAGAATTATGAAAATCTGTTCGGCACCAGAAAATATGAAAACTGAAATCGATCGATTAAAAACAACATTAACATCAAACGGCTATCCACCACATATTATAAAACGTGGTATTAGAGAAGGTGGTATAATCACTAGACGTATTTTACAACAGCCACGGCAGCCATCCATTCATCCATTCAAAGACATAAAGAAGATAGAGAACCAAAAAGAGAAAGGACTAACAGAAATCATAATAAAAAATAAACCGAAAACCTTGTCTTGCCTATTCTCATGCACCATTTAACTTTAATTTTAAAAGAAGATCAGAAATTGTTCGGTCTCTATCAATCACCACTGGTTTACCCTGTAAAGAAGACCGGTATAATACTCTCCCATTTCTTATGTATACATGGAATTTAGTATTTTCGGATAAATA